TACGTTGCGCGAAAAACGCGAATCGCACGTTATTTTATCATCAACATCACCTCGGAATTTCTTGTTAAACAGCGAATAACCCACCAGCGCCTGCCTGATAACCGCGCCCCCTGTCGCGCGCGCCGCAAAACACAGCCATATCACCGATATTCAACAACAGAACTCTTCTACCGTCTCGCGTTTGCGCCATCGATCAGCTATCGACATTCAATCAATTACGGATATAACGTTTCAACCATCGGGCGACTTCAAACGCGTCCCCGGGGGTGGGGGAGGGGGAAGGGGGCGGTATCCACGGAGAGGATTGATTCTTCACAGCGTCGTGTGTGTGGCGGAGGTGGGAGGGGTTCTATTGGCGGCACGGGCATGAACATGCTACACAAGACTGTATATATACGTATGCACACAGCTACACAAGACTGTATATATACGTATGCATACAGCTACACAAGACTGTATATATACGTATGCATACAGCTACACAAGACTGTATGCATACAAGCTACACAAGACTGTATGCATACAGCTACACAAGACTGTATGCATACAAGCTACACAAGACTGTATGCATACAAGCTACACAAGACTGTATGCATACAAGCTACACAATACTGTATGCATACACAGCTCTGTCGATTAGACTCGTATCATGGCAAGAGAACTACAAGGCGAAACAAATCCAGAAACGTCATCGGTGCCTGTTTTATGTGGCGAGTAGGCAATACGTTAAGTCCCCGCTTTATAGGGACGGGACACGGATAATCGGGACGGGTACCATGAAAATTACCCGACTGCGCGTTGACACGTGTGTGTCGTTTAAGCGATGCGCCCGATTACCCAGGACCGGATAAACCGAGTAACCACTGCACATTGGGGCGGAATTCCTGAGCGAGTTGAGAGTCGGCTGGAAAGGGCCAGTAGCAAAGAACCCGCGAATGAGTTTGAGTGGGAGTGTTGCAAGAATGCCACAATGTTACGGCGGAGTTATAAGTCTAAGTGAGAAAAAATTAGCACAGCCATAGAGTCAGGCACCTCCGATGTCAACTGGTTCGCTACGACACTGTCAAGCAGTTTCGAACGGTTGACAAACAAGGTGTCACCATGTCAAGAGTCACGACATTTGACAACGACGCCGTGAACGATCGACGCGAGCGAAAAACGAACGAATAACGAGCGATGCAACAACAACAACAACAACAACAATAATAACAATAATAATAATAATAATCAATAAATGTATAATAATCGGGAGACAAGCAATGCATATATCAGCGTCTCCAGGTTATATTGGAATGAATAAAGTTTCGGTGCGTGTTCAATTATTATATATAATTTATATATATATATATATACATATATATATATATATATATCGTTAATTATGATAATACTAATGGCCGATAAGAGATCAGTGCGAAAACACGTGAGACACAGACAGCATTAGACAACCAGCCTAGCTAGAGCACTCCGCCAAACCTCGCGACAAATCCGCTCATTTTTCCTTTCATTCGATAGATGGCAGTCGCTTCCTCAATTAGACAATTAGTTGAATCCATAGCATGCCACGACACACTCATACTGCTCTAAAAGCGAATAAATAAATAAATAAATAGAACCCATGCATGCTATTTACATATTTGGACGTCAGACAAGTTTGAAAGTATATTGTTCACCAATATACACATATCCAGGAATATTATATACAGAGTGAGAAAGCAGGCAGAAATCAGCTTTAAGCTCGGCGGACAAGTGAAAAGGCACCGAAGAAAGGGAAGGAAGAAATTACGTGGAACGATAGACTGCCGATAAACCAACCCTTCCAATGGATATTCACATGCATTGTAGCCGATAGGTGTCAGACTAGGCACTACGTCGAGAGAAGCTACGTTTTTATACGAGGGAGTATATTTTAGGGGAGAGCGAGGAGAGAGAGAGAGAGAAACAGAGGGAGAGAGAGAGAGAGAGAACAGAGGAGAGAGCGAGGCGAGCGAATGAAGGGGGAGGAGAGAGAGGCCCGAGAAGACCCGGGAGACAGAATGAAAGGCACGAGGATTGAGAGAGAGAGGAGAGCGAGTATAGAGCCAGAGAGGAGAAAGAGAAGGGACGATGAGAAGAGGAGGTGGAGAGAGAAAAAGTGCACACGGAAAGAGAGGGAGAAGACACAGAGATGGCGGGTGAGCGAGGCGCCCGAGAAAGAAAGAGAGAGAGAGAGAGAGAGAGAGAGAGAGAGCGCGAGAGACAGAGAGAATTTCGCCGAAGCCGAGACTACACACATATCACAACGCACACGCAGCAGATATATCGGACGTCACGTGATATGGAGACGCCGCCGCCGCCGCTGGCGGTGTGCATACGCTCATTATCCGCAAATCGATTTCGATTCGGTTTCGCAGTCGATCCGACTTCGTCCGGACGTAGTCTGCGGATTAAATGTGCTGCGCGAGATTTTGAGATTCGTGGCGTAGAGACGCAGGAGATGGTAGCAGCCGCGTGTAGTAACGTTGATATTTCTATAAAAACGTAGCTTCCTTAAATATATCCTAATATACCCCCCC